ATGGCAACCCCGGCTTCCCAGAAAAGTTTGAGTCTGCTCTCAGCGCCAGCCTGAAGCACAGCAACAAATGCCACCAACATGGTTTGACATGAGGTGCATAACAGTCACAGACCTGTGTCTCATGTGAATATATCTGATTTGTTGGCTGCCGCTGCGATGCAATCATGGGTCTCTGTCATAGTGGCAATGTATGCAAGCAGTAGGCACATGGGTTGTGTCATTTACACACTTTACAGTGGTACCTTGGTTCTCAAACTTAATCTGTTCCGGAAGTCCGTTCCAAAACCAAGGCGCGCTTTTCCATAGAAAGTAATGCAAAATGGATTAATACATTCCAGACTTTTAAAAATAACCCAAAAACAGCAATTTAACATGAATGTTACTATCTAAAGAGACCATTGATCCATAAAATAAAAGCAATAATCAATGTACCGTACTATAAAATAAATGAGACAGTATTGTAGATGATAAAAATCAATTTTTTTTCTTTCTTACCTGAAACTGATGCTGGTCATTGTTTGGATGGGGGGCTTTTATCCATTTCCACAATCACACAATCAATCAATCAATCAATCAGTAGCTGAACTGGGATCCACACAGTCACACACAAAAATTAACTGAGAAAGCCTCAAAAACAAAAACGCAAAATAAATAGCAAAAACAAAAGCGCCAAATACAGTGGTACCTTGGTTCTCAAACTTAATCCGTTCCAGAAGTCCGTTTGACTTCCGAAATGTTTGAAAACCAAGGCGTGGCTTCTGAGTGGTGCAGGAGCCCCAGAAACAATAGCTGACAATCGCATCAGACGTTCGGCTTCTGAAAAACGATTGAAACGTTTTCAGTGTTTGGGAAGCAAAGCATTTGAGAACCCAGGTACCACTGTACAAACTAGCACCAAATCTCCATTGGGTAGGATTGCCACATTTGTTCTGGCAAAATACAGGGCGGGGCAGTTGGGGGCAATTTTTTTCTTCTTCATCTGGTGCTGAAGTGACTTCAAAGCAATCCATTACAATCTATTGCGGCCTAACAGGATGGCCCCTCGGGAATTTGTTACACACAGAGACGTGCGCACACAAATACACATGACTTTGTAAATCTATCTCTGCTTGGCTACCCAGTGCTTAAATGGATTACCTTTCACACACCCTTTAAAACACATGCATTTGGACAGGATCCCTAACTTGGCAGAGAGAGAAGACCTGAAATACTGGACAAAACTTTATTAATACAGGACGTAGCATTTTGCATTGAAATACAGGACAATCCTGTATTATATAGGACAGGTGGCAACCCTACATTTGGGACCACTGGTTCTGGCAAGGACGGTAGTGACATCCTCTGGGATATACAGTGGTACCTCAGGTTACATACGCTTCAGGTTACAGACTCCGCTAACCCAGAAATAGTGCTTCAGGTTAAGAACTTTGCTTCAGGATGAGAACAGAAATCGTGCTCCGGCGGCGCGGCGGCAGCAGGAGGCCCCATTAGCTAAAGTGGTGCTTCAGGTTAAGAACAGTTTCAGGTTAAGTATGGGCCTCCGGAACAAATTAAGTACTTAACCCGAGGTACCACTGTATGTCATGGTTGCAGCTTGATAGAGTTCTAATGGAGGGAGGCCCACACCATTGTGTGAGCTTGTCTCTTTTCCCGCTCTTTTAGCTGTAGCAGCCATTTTGTGTTATGCCAGACCCCCAAAGCAGCCAATCTTTCATTTGCACCCAGGGCACTTTCAGATGTGCCCACTGGCCCCAAAAGGTGAGCAACACATCACCTGTGGAAACTTGTCATTTTCCTCATACACACGGTAGGCCGGGCTAGACTTTCGTAATACGGCGCCATATGCAAGACTATAATTTGGTTCCCGCAAATGAATCTTCTCAATTATGGACATCTTCAGTTTTGCACCCCCTCAAATTGGCGCCCTTTGCAAGGGAATCACCTGCAGCACCCTAAATCCAGAAGGGTTTGTATTCTATAACTCATCAAAGGAAATTATCTTATCGAGAAGGTTCTCTTTTATTGCTGTATTCTTTGCCCACAAAGTCTAAACTCCTCTTGGGATGTTCATTAATTATGTCTTTAATTATGGATTAATTAGTAGTCAATTGAAAGTACTTTTTGTACTTCCCCTGCTCTCATAGCACTAATGTGTTTCCCATCGAACTTGATGGATGCTACTGTAGCTACACGCAGAGAGGGACTTATTGCAGATGTATTCCCCTTTCTCTTCACTGAGATGCCCAAACCATTCCGCAGACAGATTCCTCCTTCTGTCATGCGGCTGAAGCTCCTTCTTTCCTTGCTGACTTTACTTCATCTTTCTCATCTTTATTTTATTGCCAAAATATCAGTGTTTCATGAATAATTATCATAATTACAATGAATAGTTTGATAGCAGCTTAGGAGCATCTAACGCTGTCAAATGCTGAGTCAGCCCATTGGCCTCTCTGATTCACTGAGTCTCCAACGACTGGCAATAATAATAATAATAATAATAATAATAATAATAATAATAATACATTTTATTTATATCCCGCCCTCCCCAGCCAAAGCCGGGCTCGGAGCGGCTAACATCAAATGTATAACACACTAACATAAAATCAGACAATCAATTAAAATACATCATCAGATCAGGATTAGAATAAAATCCAATAGCTCTCCAAGGTTTCAGACAAGGTTCTCTCCCAGCCATACCAGAACCAGAGGGTGTCTGTAGGCAACATATCCTCTGTCACTGAGCTCCAGTCCTTCCCCACTAGGCCTGGCCTTCACTCAAATAACAGGAGTGAGGAGCCAGGCCAGAGTCCATACCATTCAACTTTTTCGGATCCGAAACTGTGGAAAGTAAATTTGAAATTTACAGATTGCATATTATTGAGAGAGAATTATATGAAAATGCTGTACAGATGGTATATATCACTGGTTAAATTGGCAAAAATGTATAAAAATGAAAAGAAAGAGTGTTGGAGGTGTGAAGTGGAAGGTACATTTTATCATTGAAAAAAGGTACAAGGCTATTGGGAAATGATATATAATGAGTTGAAGAAAATGTTGAAAATAACTTTTGCAAAAAAAAACCCAGAAGCCTTTCTCCTAGGCATTTTAGGTCAAGATATACCGAAAGAAAAGAGGACTCTATTTATGTTTGCCACTACAGCTGCGAGAATGCTGATGGCACAAAACTGGAAGACTGGAGAAATACCAACTAAAGAACAATGGCAAGATAAGTTGATGAACTTTGCAGAGCTGGCAAAAATGACAGACAGACTACGAGAAAAAGACAACAGTGACTTTGAAAAAGAATGGGAACCATTTATATTATATCTGCAGAAACAAAGAAAGTCTGTAGATTTGATGGCAGGATTTAAATAAACATTCACATCATTAGTATTAGAAAATGTGTAGACAACAGGGAAATAATATGGTGTACTTATTTTCATTTTTATGTTTTTAGGTTAGATGTTATTGTATAAGTATTCTATTGGTATTTTTTTCTTTTAGGAAGTAGCAAGGTGGGTGAAAGGAGAAACAAACCAGAAGTGGAAGTTGGCGGAGGCCTAGGAGGGGAGGGAGGGAGGAATGAATCAAAAATGTTATGGATATGAGATGTATGTAATGAATGAAAAGGAAAACTGAATAAAATTTTAATTTTAAAAAAAGGAAAACTCCAAAAAAACCCACAACGTTTTCGGATCCAAAACTGGATCCTGTGCCTCATCTCTCACGACCCACACTGTATTCGAGCCCTGAAAGGGCCATAGCCATAGCTGTCAACATACAGATTTGAAAATAAGGGACCAGCAGCCAAAATAAGGGATTTTCCGGGCACAGGTGTGTTCAACTTCTGAGCCCCTCCGAGCCAAAGGCAGAAAGCCCAGCCAGCAGCCAAATGAAGCCTCATCAATAAGGGACAGCAGCGGGACATGGCGCTGGGATAAGGGACTGTCCCGCCAAATAAGGGACGCTTGACAGCTATGGCCATAGCTCAGTAGTAGAGCATCTGCTTTGCATGCAAAAGGTCCCAGCTTCCATCTCCAAGTAGGTGTGGGAACATTCCCAGTCTAAAACCCTGGACAGCCATGACCAGTCAGCGTAGACAATATTGAGCGATATGCCTATGGGAAACCCACATAAGCAGGACATGAAAGCAATGGTCCTCTCCTCCAGCTGTTCTCCAGAAACTGAGGCATGTTGCCTCCGAACCTGGAGCCCCTGATAACCCTATCTTTCGCATCTGCCTCCAGCCTTAATATTTACTCCCTGGAGGTATTTCGCCTTTCAGCTAACATGCATGCTCTTCTTACAGCGATGGGCGCCAGGTGATAACTTGTTCATCTGCAACATAACCTTTTGATCTACAGCAACACTTTCTCTCTCACACACAAATGTCTCTCGGCTTCCCAGATCCGCTCTACGTCCATTAGATACCTGGCACCTGGCCTTCAGAAGCAGACATTCTATAACTCTTTTAAACGTCACTCAAGATCCTGACCCGCAACAAAGATAAATAGCCAATCTCCCAAAACTCTTTTTTTTAATATAGTAAATCATTTTCATTCCAACCTATGCCCTTCAGATAGAATAGTACAGTTTTTAGGAGGCAGGGGTTGTTTTGTTTTCCACAGTGGAGACATAGAGAGTACTAGTAACTGCAGTCAGGTATGCTTTAATTAAAACCAAAAAACCTCTCATTATATACATTGCAAGTTCAGGTCGGTGTAATGAATTTGTTCAGTTAGCTTATCATTGTATATGAAACACCACGTGGACCCAAAAACCATAATGTTTCAAGCTTAAACTTTATATATATAATCTATATCTTTCTTTCTTTCTGAATTTCTCTTTCTGTCTCTCTCTCTCACGCAAACACACACATTTTGGCAGGCACTAAAACACAACTAGCACCATCAATCATCACTGATGACTTTGCATGTTTGATCCCCAGCAGATCAGAAGCACTGTAATCTCAAGAGCCAGCAAAACAGTCGGCCACTTACCTACACCTAAAAGCACTATTGTTCTGAGCTCCTCGGTGTACCTGTGTGGCAAGAAAACTGGAAACTCTGAGGTTGTTTACAGAGACAACATAGCCCTTGGTCAGCCCAGTATCTCTATTTGTTTAAGTTTGCCAGCGTGACTGGCCTTCCAGATTTGCTAATGTTCTATATTTGTAATGTGCTAACATGATCTGCGGTTCGAAAGCAGCCATGGGCATGATAGAATATCAGCCCTGCAAAGCTCTGTTCAGATAAAAGAAATGAACTTTTAATAGGCTAAGCATCTTAACAGCACTTCGGCGAGGGTGATAAAAACAACATTCCTTTGACCTGTAGTCCCAGCGTTATTTAAAATCACACAGAGGTGCCAGAGTGTTATTCCAGGAAGAAAGAAGCCAAGTTGGGATTTTTTCCGGTTTTTTTGATACGCTGTTAGAATTAGACTAATTTCCTTCAGTCTGGAGACCTCTTAATAAAATACAAAACTGAGAAAGAGAACTGAAAGTACCTGCAGCTGTCATGGCTACAGGGTGACCCGAGTGGTGTTGCAGAGCAGGAGCTGGGGAGAGGGACCTAGTCACAAAACAGTCTGGCCAGACACGCTCCCTGTTTAGAGGAAAAGGTGCCACTGCCCTTCTGAACTTGGCAGGTTCTCTGCTTCCTGATATAGTCGCAAAGAGGGCTCTCAGGAACGGATCCAACTTTTATTTCCTGGCAGGCCTTCATCTCTGAGACAGCCACTTTGAAATGTATGTGAAGTAGCTGTGCCAGGAAGCACGCAAGGACTCTTGGTAAACAGGTTGCTGGGGCTGTAACAGAAGGCTGCCACCACTGGCTATGTGCTGAGGCGCCATGCTTTTGCCCACTGCACAGCAGGCAAAAAAGAAAGGGGTTTTGCCTCCTCCGTCACTGCATTTCTTTGCAGAGGAAAGTTGCAGCTGCTGATTTCAGCTTCTTAAAAGTGGACCCCTGACCACTAGCTCCAGTCACGGACGACTCTGGGGTTGCAGCGCTCATCTCACTTTATTGGCCGAGGGAGCCGGCGTACAGCTTCTGGGTCATGTGGCCAGCATGACTAAGCCGCTTCTGGCAAACCAGAGCAGCGCACAAAAACGCCGTTTACCTTCCCGCCGGAGTGGTACCTATTTATCTACTAGCACTTTGACGTGCTTTCGAACTGCTAGTGTTATGGACTGAGTTGAATAGGATTCAAACTGCAGCAGTCTGATTGGTACTAGAACAATAGGATCCAAAACACAGCAGTCTGATTGGTCCTAGAACAATAGAATTGAGAATGCAGCAGTCTGATTGGTCCTAGAACAATGCAGCAGTATGATTGGTCGGCAGGAGCCACCCAATCCAGCTCCAGATAGAAGTGAATCCACAACCTGATTGGCCTACAGGAGAAGTCCAGAATTAGCCAATCACGTGCAGCCCATTGTGTGAATAATGTATATAAAGCAGATACTTTGAGGGGACTTCCATTCCTCCTCACCACTATGAGCTGAATAAAGAGCATGAAATCACTTTGCGACTCTGAGTATATTTCAGCTAGGTTGGCAGGAGCTGGGACCGAGCAATGGGAGCTCACCCCGTCTCAGGGATTCGAACCGCTGACCTTCTGATTGGCAAGCCCTAGGCTCTGTGGTTTAACCCACAGCACCACCCGCGTCCCTTTCAGCTTCTTATTCCGCTGTTAAACAGCCAAAAATAGGCACAGTGCCACGCATGCAATTAGCACTTGTATGAATTGCTGTTTTTAAAGTCATTAGGAAACTCGAGGCCCCACAATATAGATTGGGAACCCAGCATGAAGGTTACAGGGAGCTTTAACCCTCCGATCCCCACTGTGTTCCCCATCTCCCATGTCTGCTATTGGCAAGAGAATCAGTTACTCTGAGCAGAGTAGTGAGAATGTCACCAACCACCAGCTAACCTTTGGCCTCTTTCATTACAGAAGGAGCCGAACATACGAGGAGGCCATTGGTGTCACATCAAATTCTAGCCTTTCATCCCAATCAACTCAGTAAATCAGCCGAAATGTCTTCCACTGGATCATGGCTTCTGTGCATTCCCCTCTTCCACAGCAACATGAATCAATATGAGCCACTTACTACACAAGGCTAAAAGGTCATTCTGGTTTTTATTTTTTAGAAGGCTCAGATGCAAGTTTCTAGCCTTCATGTTTGCAGGGGTAAGTTTGATGGTTGTGCGTCTGAAGGATTCAGTAACCCAGGAGGCAAAGGGTGGCGGGGGAAGAGTGAAGCTCATTTGCAGATCTCATTATTTTTGTTTATTTCTTGATTTCTAAGGGTTGATTTATTATTTTGAACATTCAGACAGTCTGGGTCAGCCGAGGAACTATGATTATGGTTTCAAAGCTGAGCTTTCAAATTACTCGAAATGTACAAAGGTCATATTGCCTCAAATGAGCTTTTCTCATGTATATTTGAGAGTGAGCACTTTCCTCTGGCGACTGAATGTAAACGGAGACTAATGATAATGCACCACTTCAGAAATTGCACAGAGAGCATCGCACTGTCAACTATATTATGCTACTGATAAAGTTCCATGATTACAGGATTGATTGATTGATTTTTGTCAACATAACACGGCAAACTAGTTTTATGTTCTGCTTTCACCATGATTAACTATAAGTCCAAGTCCAGCATTTTAAGCAATGAATTTTGAATTTGAGTCAAAAGGCAGGGGAGGAAGATCACAGATAATAGGATGGTCAATGTTTCAGTCAGCTTTTTTAGCTGTGCCTTTCACAATGGCTCTGTAAGTAGGAGTTCTCAGGGAAAGCCTTTTTCAGCAGAAAGAGAAATGTCATCACCTGACTGTCAAGCTCCATTGAAAAGCACTGTTACAGCTGATTGGCAAGTCAGCAATCCACAGACTAACCTTCCAAATAATGTCCCTGATCATTATGATTACCTCACTAATTGCTGTGAAAATAAAGGTAAAGGTAAAGGAACCCTGGACGGTTAAGTCCAGTCAAAGGTGACTATGGGGTGCAGCGCTCATCCTGCTTTCAGGCCGAGGGAGCCGGCGCTTGTCCATAGACAGCTTTCCAGGTCATGTGGCCAGCAGGACTAAACCCACTTCTGGTGCAACGGGACACCGTGACAGAAACCAGAGTGCATGGAAACACTGTTTACCTTCCTGCCACAGCGGTACCTCTTTATCTAGTTGCACTGGTGTGCTTTTGAACTGCTAGGTTGGTAGGCGCTGGGACAAAGCAACGGGAGCTCACTCCATCGAGGGGATTCGAACAGGCAATCTTTTGATTGGGAAGCCCAAGAAGCTTAGTGGTTTAGACCACAGCTCCACCCACATCCCAAATAAACAAGCACACAATCACTGATAGGTCCACCTGACATTGTGAGGCTCAAAGCAATGAAGATGATGCCTCCCCAGCTGTTGCCATTGGCTGTGGGTTTCTTGTGATGTCACAAAAGCACTTGGCAACTGAGTGGATATAAAGGCAGGCCAAGGGGAAAACCCTTTTCTGTTTCCAGCAGGACACACCTGGCAATGGATGTGACATTCAGCACTGCCCAGGTTTCTTCCACTTGGACGAGGCAAAGTGGTGAATGGAAGGAGGCAATCCTCTGGCAGTGGGATGCTAAGGAGCGATAATAAGGCAAGTTTGCTTGCTTGAAGGTATCTGTGATTAGAAGCTGGCGGATGTCTCATGATGGACCTAACAGTAGCTTCTGGCACCTTTTGGACCTCCATCTCTAATGTCTGAGGTAAAGGTAAAGGGACCCCTGACTGTTAGTTCCAGTTGTGGCCGACTCTGGGGTTGCGGCACTCATCTCGCTTTATTGGCCGAGGGAGCTGGTGTACAGCTTCCAGGTCATGTGGCCAGCATGACTAAGCCGCTTCTGGTGAACCAGAGCAGCACACGGAAACATCATTTACCTTCCCGCTGCAAGCGGTACCTATTTATCTACTTGCACTGGCGTGCTTCCAAACTGCTAGGTTGGCAGGAGCTGGGAGAGAGCAACAGGAGCTCACCTAGTCGCGGGTTTTTGAACCGCTGACCTTCTGATCGGCAAGCCCATGAAAATAGGCGGAATATCAACAGGTGAAGCTTTTTCCAGCAATGAGGGGCTTCAGCATGGGCGTAGCCAGGATTTTTGTTAGGGGGACAGGCCTTTGGGGGGGGGGCAGAACCTCAGTTTGCTATGTATTTTTTATTGATTTTATTGATTTAGGGGGACAACTGCCCCTCCCTGCCCCCCCTTGGCTACACCCATACTGTATACCTGAAGGAGCGTCTGCACCCCCATCGTTCAGCCCGGACACTGAGATCCAGCACCGAGGGCCTTCTGGCGGTTCCCTCATTGCGAGAAGCGAGGTTACAGGGAACCAGACAGAGGGCCTTCTACCGCGGTAGTGGCACCCGCCCTGTGGAACGCCCTCCCTTCAGATGTGAAGGAAATAAGCAGCTATCTTCTCTTTAAAAGACATCTGTAGGCAGCCCTGTTTAGGGAAGTTTTTAATAGTTTAATGCTGTATTGTTTTTAGCACTTGATTGGAAGCCGCCAAGAGTGGCTGGGGAAACTCAGCCAGATGGGTGGGGTATAAATAATAAATTATTATTATTATTATTATTATTATTATTATTATTATTATTATTATTATATTCATTTCTTGTTTTCTGCCTGTTTGCAGGTGCTAATGATATGCAACCTTCATCTATTAAACAGGAAAAGATGAGTAACATGGTAGCCCCTGATCCCTGAGTTGAGAGGTTATTGTCCCCCGTAACATACCCTTTTTGCTTGTTTGGATAACCCAGAGAAAATCTTGCCCTCTCAAATAATTGTGAAGGTGGTAACTATGAGGCTGTTGTATCTTAATGACCTGGAAGCTGTACGCCGGCTCCCTCGGCCAATAAAGCGAGATGAGCACCGCAACCCCAGAGTCATCCGCGACTGGACCTAACAGTCAGGGGTCCCTTTACCTTTTAATATAGATATTAGCCAACTGCAGACTTGTGGTTTTTTTCCCCCTTATGGACCAACACAGATCCCTTTGTTATTACAAAATAAAAAAAATTCCTTCCTGTAGCACCTTAGGGACCAGCTAAGTTTGTTATTGGTATGAGCTTTCGT